TAACTGTTCCACTGGGGCACCCCAGCCCATCACAGGATGTGTGTGGTACTTACAGCTATCTCCCTTTCTCCACCACATCTTCCCCACCACCATGGAGTTCACAGAGCTTGGGGGGGGGGGGCGGGTAGTCTGGTGCTACCTACCCTGAGTGGGGACACATTTGTCTTCCATCCATCCCAGTCTCTCAGCCTCATGTGGCCCTCTTCCATCCCCGTCCTTCCATCACATACCTTCAGGACTGAACTTCCTGGCACCTTAGGGTCCCTGGGTCTTGTCTAGTCTACCCTGTTGTCCTGCAACCTTGTGTCATCCTTCTATTGGCCTATGTAACCACTGGCCAGACCAAGCCCAGTCATAGATGGCTGCATTCCACAGTCAGCTGGCTGTCACCCTCAGGTGGCCTGATCATCACCAGGGACTCTAGCATATTATTTGGGGTGGTCTGGTATGGTGCTGTAGGTTAAGCACTAGATTGATAATAACAAGGTCAGCAGTTCAAACCCACCAGTCACTCCTCAGAATCCTGAGTCAGAATGGACTTCATGGCACTTAATAACAACAATGGAAAGTGCCCTGGATCCAAAGTGGGGCATGGATCATCAGAGGTACAGTTTGAGAAATCATTCAAAGTTGTAAATGCAAAATATCAGATAATGAGACAGTCAATAAATTAGAATTGCTGTTGTTGTTGTCAGATGCCATCGAGTCGGAACCAACTCATAGCAACCCCACACACAGCAGAACGAAATAATGTCCGATCCTGGGCCAACCTCACTACCGCTGCCACACTTGAGTCCATCAATGATGCCACCTGGCCAATTCATCTCGTTAGGGGTCTTCTTCTTTTTCTCTGACCCTCCACCTTACCCAGCATGACATCCTTCTCCAGCGACTGGTCCCTCCAGACAATATGTCCAAAGTATGAGAGACGAAGCTTAGCCATCTTGGCCTAAGAAGGAGCACTCTGGCTGCACTTCTTCCAAGACAGATCTATTGGTTCTTTTGGCACTCCAACACCACAACTCAAAGGCATCAATTCTTCTACAATCTTCCTTATTCACTGTCCAGCTTTCGCATCCATATGAAGTTATTGAAAATACCATGGCTTAAGTCAGGTGCACCTTAGTCCTCAAGCTGACATCTCTGCTCTTCAATACTTCAAAAAGTTCCTGTGCAGCAGATTTGCCCAATGCAATACGTCGTCTGATCTCTTGACTGCTGCTTCCGCGAGTGTTGATAGTTGATCCAAGAAGAATGAAGTCCTTGACAACTTCAATCTTTTCTCCATTGATAAGAATGTTGTTTATTGGTCCAGTGGTGAGGATTTTTGTTTTCTTGACATTGAGATGCAATCCATACCAAAGGCTGTGCTCTTTTATCTTCATAAGTAAATGTTTCAAGTCCTCTTCACTAGGTATACTGAATTTTTTCAGTATTATTATTAACAAATTTATCTTGGTGATAAAAGTCGATCTTTTCCCATTAACTTTTCAATATTTAAACCATGTTTTTAAACATAAAATATTATTGTTGTTGTGTGCTGTCAAGTTGGTTCTGACTCATAGCGACCTTGTGTAGGGTTTCTGAAAGCCCCTGGTAGATTTGAACTACCAACCTTGCAGTTAGCGCAGTTAACAGTCCAGTGCTTATCCTACAGCACCACACCAGATCCCAAAAACATTTCTACATGATGAAAAATCGTTTCTGTTTTTTTGAAACTTTTAATGTGAATTGAGTGAAGGTTTACAAAGCAGATCATCAGTTTTATATCCAACAAATCACACACTTTGCTTCATCTCAATGATTGTAATCACCTCCATGCAACAATTATCCTACTTCCTCCCTGTGCCAATTTCCATTCCACCCTCCTCCCCAACCCCTCTTAACCTTGCCCTGGGAAATGCTGCCCTTTGATCTTCAATGGCTAACCATTCCAAGGTGAGCATAAATCACTAGTTTTGTTGTCCCCCCTATACCAAGGAACTGCTTGGTTGAAAAGTGGACCACAAGGGTGAGTTCTGTTCCAATCCTGAAGGGTGGCTGAAGGTCGCAGTCTCAGCTTCCTAGATCCTCTTTCTGACCAGTAAGCGCAGCCTTTTTTATCATTGGAGGTTTGTTCCACATTGTTTCTTACTCTATCTGTGACCTTCCAATGTGATCCCTTTCAGAGCAGTTGGTAGTGGTGATCAGGCACCATCTAATTCTTCTGGTTTCAAAATTGTAGAGACTGATGTTCATGTGTTCCATTAGTCCATTGGACTAATTGATTCTAAGCATCTTCAATTTTCATCACTCTTCCTTCTTCTTCTGCACATGGAGAGACCAATAGTTGCCCCTTACATAGCCACTCATGAGCTTTTAAGGTCCCAGTCATTACTCATGGTGAAAAATCTTGATGTCAATCCCTGGATTAAATCTCAACTCTTACTTGTTAGCTGAGTTTTGGCAATTTACCAAACTTCTCCAAGCTTCAGTTTTCCAAGTTATATAATGACATACAGTAGGATTTAAAGATAAGCCATTATCATTGTTAATGTAGTCATTAAATCTGCATCTCTTTTTATAGCAGATCTTCACCACCTACTTTCTCTGACTTTTCATAAATATCAGTCCATGTGACACACAAAAAACCAATGCAGAACATAATTTTCTGTTTTGATGTGCTTTAATTAAAATCTATTTCCAAAACTTCATTAACTTTATCTCAAAAGTATGACTTCACATAACATTCACTGTCTTGAATAAACTAAATAAAGTTATCCCAAGAAGAAATGTAATTATCTCTATAAAAGTTCCATTATTACATTTTTTAAGAGAGTCATAGAGAGTTTAAAGGATAAATAACTTCAAAACTGTCATTTGAATTTCCTTCCCACATATTTCTGGATCTCTTAATAAATCAGAAATGTTAAGATTGCAAAGCTGCCAGGTTAATCTCTAAAACTCCTAAACTAGTAGCTTCAGAAAATAGTTCTATATAAAACTTTCACACTTGCCTGAAATATTCAATAAGTTTATATACTACAATATTCCATGAAGTTAGATAAACCCCATATAAGGCCTAACAGGACTTAACATCTTCCAGCACATGTCCCCTATCTCCATGAGTAACATCCCAGTACAACTTATTGGCATTGGATCCATTGAAAATCATAGTTTGCAACTTAAGTCTACAACTGAACATAGCACTTCTACCTTAAGGGTTACTTCTTACATAAACTCATTTATATTATTTTCTATATTCTCCAATTAGTAAATACAGCCCAATTCTTTTATTGAGAATACTGTTTAATTTTTAGTCATTTTTTTGACATCTTAAAATTTTTTTTAAATAAAGTTACATTAATAGCTACAGAGTAATGTGATGCAAATGTGATTTGAAGTAAGAATTAACATTTATGAAAGCTAAGAAACACTAAGAATACAAACAAGTAAATGTATTCATTTGTCAGTTGAATCAGTGTTATATTTGCAATTTATATTTCATGCTAATCATATTTGAATAATAAGAAGGATTCCTAATTTAACTATGGTTGATGTTCTTCAAATAGTTACTTTCCTTACTCTTTACCTCCCAGGGTGACTGATCACATTGCTAATCAATGTGTAATGATAATGACTTTTCATGTCAATTGTAGGAATTTGTTACAGATGATTACTTAACTTTACAAGGGGATTACTAGCTAATTTACAAGGAATTGTGAGGAATGCTTAGTGCCCTGAATTTGTCACAGTAAAAGAAAATTGATTGCTAAAAGGACCACTTTTAAGTCACTTATAATTATTTGTGCCACTGTCCACTGCTCTGCCCTATAAAATTCTGTATCATCAGAACAGAACCCTGTCCTAAAATCAGGGACTACCTGTACATAGAAGCTCTGGTAGTGTAGTGGTTACGAATCGGGCTGCAAACCTCAAGGTCATCAGTTCGAAACTACCAGCTGTTCCGTGGGAGACAGATGAGGCTTTCTGCTCCCGTAAAGATTTACACCCTTGAAACCCTGTACAGGGTCACTATGAGTCGGAACTGACTCCACAGCACATAATCACCATCACCACCTGTACACAGAAATTCACCTATTCAACTTCCCTTATCAGTATATGCCAAATATGTTCTTTTTCTTCATATTTCTGATTCAATGTTCACAGGGTTTTAGTAATCCTATGAAGTGGTACATAATTTTAATATAATAACTGTGAAATTTAGTCAATGTAAATCTGATGTATTAACACAGAGAAAGAGGAGGTCCAGAAATCAAGATTAAATATTAGCAATTTATTGACTAAGCCTTCTGACTAAAACCTTGAGGAATGCTGAGGGATGTGGCCCCTTCTTTCTTGAGCAATTAAGAAGATGTATAGGACATGTGACATATTCAGAGCATATAGCTGAGAAGCTACATCCTGGGACATGCCCTTAAGAAAGACCAACCATAGAAATTCCATATTTTACTTCCTTGTACGATGGGATATGCCATTAAGAAAGACCATGCATAAAAATGCTGTATTCTATTTTCTTGCTTTCTTGTAAGATGTTTTAAAGCCTGGACTGGGTCCTTTCCTCTCAATAAATCCGTAAGCCTTTTGTTCATATGAAACTCTGTCTAATCTAATCTTCATTGCAGGACCAGGGTCTCTCTACAGCCCAATGATAGAATCACATAATAATAATGTCATTCATATGTATCATTTAAAAAGTTGTTTTGCATATAATTTTTAAATCTATGTAACTTATCTTATTAAACCATTATTATATTCACATTTTATAGGTTAAAGCTAAAAATTCAGAAATATTAACTTGGCTCTAAGACTTCACAGTAACTGGTGGGGTCAGGTATTCTTTTCATTATTCTTTACTATATTTATTTTAATTATTCTTTTCATCACTCCACAAATACTTTAACCAGAAAAGTGTAATTGTCTATGAATGCAAATAAGTTATAGCATTATGGTCAATCAAATTAAAGGATATAACACTTCTAAAAAGAGTAAATTCTTACCTAAATCAGTGTCTCGGATTCCCAAGTACAATTCAAGCAAGTCATCAATCTTTTTAATTGCCTTTGTTTCAGTTTCAGATGGCTTTATGAAAGAAGAAAGAAAGAAAATACCTTGTTACATTGTTCTAAATGTCATGGTATACATAGGGCTAAATGGGATGCTGAGTCAGTCCATGATTGTGCACTTCCGCTAATTTTAGTGGAAATGTACCTAGAATCTGCTCTGTAACTCAACATAAATCAATACAGTAAATACTTATTTAGCATCAGCCTTTAATGTTATGAATTCAAACATGAAAAGTCAGTAGTTCCAAGAAGCTAACAATCTAGAACAGGAAACAGACGTAAATATAAATAATTATGCAACAATAATAAGCATATTTTTTAATAAATATAAAAGGTACATCATCAGTATAACAGGAGAGGAAGCAAATTTAAATTTCTAAGAGGCAAAAGAGTTTCTGAAAGAAGATGATGTGAGAATTGCACTTTCAAAGATGAGCACTTGCCAGATAAGGGAGTATGGGTACTTTAAGTAAAAAGCAATAAATCTATGTGAGGTCACAGAGCCTGATAAAAGATTAAAAGCATACTACAGGGACTGTAAAAAGTTCCATGTCACTGGAGGATCCAGAGGCAGATATAACCAAATACTAAGGGGTCCTAGATACTATGAGAATGGCTCTAGTCGTGCAGGCTAGAGTATCCAAATTATTTTATGGTTACCCCAACAGTAAAATATTTCTGAACACATTTTTAAATTTTTATTTTATCATACATATTTTAAATAAATTACATGCATGAATTCTTAATGACATATTGTATATATGTTGCTGTTGTTGTTACGTGCCATCAAGTCGATTCCAACTCATTATTAACTACATATGTGAGAGTGGAAGGCCCTCAGAGGCAGTGGCTGTGATCTTCACAGAAGCTGATTGCCAGGTCTTCCTCCTATGGAGCCACGGAGTGAGTTCGAGTCACCAACCTTTGCTATCAGTCCATCACTTAATCATCAAGTTCACATTTACAGAAAATGTAAAGAGTGAAATAATAAAAAAACAAAATTTTTAAATAATGTATATGTGATGAATTTATGGTAGCAAAACATCTTTGATTTTCCTAAAACTACCATTAAAAATAATTTCAGTAAAAACAGGATGGAGTATGTTTTTAATTCTTTGTTCAGTTTATATTGATAGTTTGATTAAAAATGGCTTCATAGCTGAAAAAGAAATTGCCCAAAGATGCCCAATGCATAATTATAGGTACAAATGTAGAAATCATGATTGTTGTTAAGTGCCTTCGAGTCAATTCTGATTCATAGCAGCACTGTATAGGGTTTCCAAGGAGCTAATCAAATGACGTATTCCATTAGGAAAATCTGCTGCACAAGACCTTTTTAGTGTTGAAAAGCAAAGATGTCAGCTTGAGGACTAAGGTGCACCTGACCCAAGCCACAGTATTTTCAATAACCTCATATACATGTGAAAGTTGGACAGTAAATAAGGAAGACAGTAGAAGAATGGATGCTTTTGAGTTATGGTGTTGGAGGAGAGTATTGAAAGTGCCATGGGCTGCCAAAAGAACCAACAGATTTGTGTTGGAAGAAGTGCAACCAGAGTGCTCCTTGGAAGCCAGGATGGCCAAACTTCGTCTCTCATACTTCGGACATATTGTCAGGAGGGACCAGTTGCTGGAGAAAAATATCATGTTTGGTAAGGTGGAAGGTCAGAGAAAAAGAGGAAGACCTCCAGTGAGATGGATTGGCCAAGTGGCAGCATCAACGGACTCAAGCGTGGCAACAATAGTGAGGTTGGCCCAGGATGGGGCAGTGTTTGGTTCTGCTGTGCATAAGGTCGCTTTGAGTTGGCACCAACTTGATGGCACCTAACAACAACAACTGGTGAGTTTGAACCACTGTATTACATTTAATGCTGTCAGAGATGTATGCTGCCCTGTATCCTCAAGCTTTATTTAAACTGTATTTTATTACTAAAATATGTATTTCTTATTACTTTGAGATATCAGTATTACTTTCTCACATTTTTATTTATATTAGTTAAGCCTTAAAAGTAAGAGCAGACTACTATAAAACTCTTGCTTCATTATAGTGTATTTTGAGTTGTCTGTGAAAAGCAGTAAACTATGTGGTCTATTTATCTGTATATCTATCCAGCTAGATTATTCATCCTTATCATAACAGGTATCAGTACTCCTCTTTCACAGTTGTTAAGTTGTAAGTGCTGTCAAGTCAATCCTGACTCATAGTGACCCGTATAGAGTTTCAGAGGAGCAGCTGGCGGGTTTGAACTTCTAACCTTGCAGTTAGCAGTCTAGTGCTTATTCTACAGTTTACCATCAATTTTTATCTCCTAAATAACTCTTCACCTTTTCACTTCTTCTCCAGCTACATTCTGATTTGTTTTGGATCAGTCCTTATTACCTTTATCAAGTTTTCTAATTTGTTTCCCTCACTGATCAGCCTGCTCAACAACCCACCCCCTAGAGCCAAGAAGTTTTTCAAAAATACAAAACTCATCAAATTGCTCCTAATGCTTACAAAAGTCCCCATTTTCTACAAGGTCCTCACATCCTGATATTGTACACACCACCAGTCTCATCATTCCCTGCCACATTCCTCAGCACTCAATACTCCAATTCCCAGGGATAGCTTACATTGTGTCACACCTAAAACAATCTTCTCTCCATTGTTAACCAACTCAGGGTTCTCTTAGGCAGGGCATTCTACCTGAACCCTTCTTCCTCTCCTTTCAGCAGCTGATCACATCCCCCACTTTGTGACACCAATGTATCTAATACATACTTCCATTAACTCTTATCTCACTGATTTGCAATCGCTTCTTTTTATGATCTCTCCTTTGTCTTTGCTTTGTCATGACCTGAATTGTACCTGTCTCAAACGATACATATTGAATAAATTATGAGGTATGGAAGTGAAGTATCTTTCACAGTGTTCACAATGTGTTCTAAGTTATAAAGGGTAATTTGTTTCAAATGTTTTAAACTCTTTAAATCCTTTGGTATTTGAAATTGGATCATAAGCAATTTGTATCAAATTTAATATTAGCACCAGCTAGCTTTTTCATTTCATTGAGAGCTAATTTTAATTGCCCTGTTTAATGAAATAGGCTAGGCAAATAGAAATTGATTTTAGATGTCTACTCTTGAATGAATTTTTCCCAGTTCCCCAGATACATCTTAAGCTCCTTCCTTTTTATTTCAGCACCTTTTACATAGCAGACACGCAGCAAATATTTGTGGATCATGTTAACTATTAGAAGATAGCCCTCCCCCTGTAAGATTTGGGCTCTTCCTGCTGATCTTGTGTACTTTATAAGCTACTCTTAAGGTCTGCCTCATGTTTCTGTACAGTCTCTGCCAGAAAGCACAGTTGTATTTTCCTAGCTTCCCAGGGCCAGTCCTGTTTATGGTTCTTACGTTCTCCTCTTACTTTCTTTCACTGAGTTTCATTCATTCAATACACTTTTATGACAGTCAGAAGATGCCAATCAGTGTGCCGGATACTAAAGAAATTAAGACATGAAATGACCAGAAGTTACTGCCCTGGTCTTTTTTCTCATTATCACATACCTTACATAGCTAATTTTTAAACATTTTTTTTGCTTTACCAGTTCACCTCCAGATCAACCTTTTCATTCACCCCAAGATCAAGGTACCTAGCTCTGAATCTTCTTCTGATTTCCCCAAACTGATAGCATCCTGGGTGACTCAAATATTCACAAGGACAGCCTTGGCCTCAAGGCTCCATGAGTGTGTCTGCTCCAAAGAACCACTAAATCAATGATCCTGGGGGCTTTGCCACAAACAAGCTCCAGAAAATAGTCACTCAACTTTTCAACTGTCTCAGTCCTTTACTCTTCATACACACAAGGAGTGCTGATCCAGTATTCACATGCAGAGAGACTATAAAGTGCCTGATGCCTGGGTATCTGCCTTCAGAAGCTCCAGGGCTTCAGAAACTTACCTGACCTCTTATCCTCCTACAGAATCACCTCATTATGGCTGTCTTCCGGCTGTGAGCAGACTTGTTATACTGCCACCTCTAACCTCTGTGGGCCTCTTCTTTCCATCTATTTTGTCTCTTTTCCTTCTAGTATTTTCACTCAAATTCTGACATTTATTTTGTGGTTGTTGGTTGCCATAGAGTCAACTCTGACTCAAGGTAATCCCAAGTATAACAGAATAAAATGTTGTCTGGTCCTTTATCATTATGTTGGTTGGTTTGTTTGAACCCCTAGTTGTGGCTATTGTATCAATCATCTCATTGAGGGTTTCCTTCCTCTTCACTGGTCCTCTACTTTGTCAAACATGACGTCATTTTATAGCCATAAGTGTTTCTCGGCATGCTTAAAATAAGCAAATCAAAATCTCACCATCTTTACTTTTCAGGACCATTCTGGTTGTATTTCTTCAAAGACTGATTTATTTGTTCTAAGATTGATTGGTATTTTAAATATTCTTCACCAACACCATTGTTAGAATACAGTAATTCTTTTTCTGTCTTTCTTTTTCACAGTCCAACTTTCATATAAATATGGGACCATTGAAAAGACCATGGACAGAGCTAATCAGTCAGAGCAATCTTTACATTTCTAAAGCAAAATTGGACTATTTATTAATCCATTGATTCAGCACAGATTTTAGTTTCTTTTAATGTGCCAAGTCCTGTTCCAGGTTCTTGACATGTTGTTGCTGTTGTTGTTAAGTCGATTCCGACCCTTAGCAACCTATATAAGGTTTCCAAGGAGCAGCTGGTGGGCTTGAACCACTGACCTTGCAATTTAAATGGCTTTGCAGTCTGGCACATTAACCCACAGTGCCACACCAGGACTCTTAACATATAGCAGTGAACAAAACATACACAAAAAGGAGCTTAAAAAGAAAAAAAGGTAAGCAAGTGCCTTTGGCTCTCTGAGCAGCATCATGGCAATCAGCAAGAACAAGCGCCTAACAAAAGGTGGCAAAAAAGGAGCCAAGAAGAAAGTGGTTGATCCATTTTCTAAGAAAGATTGGTATGATGTGAAGGCACCGCATTGGGAAATATTGGGAAAATACTAGTCACAAGGACTCAAGGAACCAAAATTGCATCTGATGGGCTCAAGTGTTGTGTTTTTGAAGTGAGTCTTGCTGATCTTCAGAATGATGAAGTTGCATTTAGAAAATTCAAGCTAATTACTGAGACTGTTCAGGGCAAAACCTGACTGACCAACTACCATGGTATGGATCTTCCATGTGACAAAATGGTCAAAAATGGCAGACCATGCTTATGCGTAGAACTAACAGGTCCATCAAATTCAGAAGAAAATTATGACCCAAGAGGTACAGACAAATGATTTGAAAGAAGTGGTCAATAAACTGATTCCAGACAGCACTGGAAAAGACATAGAGAAGGCTTGCCAGTCTCTTTACCCCCTCCATGATGTGTTTGTTAGGAAAGTAAAAATGCTTGAGTGAAAAAGTTTGAGTTGGGAAAATTCATGGAGCTTCATGGTGAAGGCAGTAGTTCAGGAAAAGCGACTGGAGATGACCCAGATGCTAAAGTTGAACGAGCTGATGGCTATGAACCGCCAGTTCAAGAAGGTGTTTAAAATTCAGACTTTCAATTATGACAAATAAAATATTTTATTTGTGGAAAAAAAAAAAGGTAAGCAAGTAAGAACAAAATGAATCATATGGTATTTAATGCTTTAAAGAGAATTAAGGATGAGAAGAATTGGGTAGTGGACAGGGTGAAGAGAATTTATACAAGTGAGTTTCAAAAATTTCATGGGAAAATGAAATTAAAAGACAATGGAATTTTCCCACAAACTTTCTGAAATTCTTTCATATTTACAGTATAATTAGAAAAGGCTTTAGTTATACTGGTACTGTAGCAGAAATCTGAAGAAGAAGAGGGTCATGAATATAAACAGGGTAGGGCATTCAGATTGAGGCAATGTAAGAACACAAACTGAGTAGGGACCACATTTGGAGTGTTTGGAGAAAGCAAGTTGGCCAATGTGTCTGTAGCACAAGAAGGCAGAAGAGGTGATAGGAAATGAGATGGAAGTAAAAAAGTCAGATCATTTTAGTCACTATGAGAACTTTAGCTTTTACTCTGAATGACATGAGAAACCATTGGAGGGTTTTGAATAGAAAGCATAACCCCCCTTGCATTTTCAAAGTATTCTTGTGGCTGCTATACAGGGCACATAATGCCTCATACATTTTCAAAGTACTATTCTGGTTGACATGCTGAGCACAGATGCAGAGAAGGCCTAGGTGAAGTGTGAAGCCACAAGTAGGAAGCAACTGCAACAACCTTTGGAAAAAGTGGTGGGGGTAGAATGGTGAGAAGTGCTGGGTTCCAGTATGTCACAGAGTACATCCACCTGAAAATTTTGCTTGCAGAAAATATATGGAACATTACTTACCTATGGCTGCTTTAACAGAAGTACCACAAGTGGATGACTTTAACAACCAGAAATTTATTCTCTGACAATTTACAAGGTTAGATATCCAAATTCAAAGTGCCAGTTCTTGGGGAGGCTTTCACTTTGTGGGCTCTAGGGAAAGGTCCTTGTCTCCTTTCAACATGTGTAAGCCTTGGAGTTCATCATATACCTTGATATCAATCTCCCCCTGGATCTAGGAGTTTCACAGTGCAGGGACACCAGGTCCAAAAAATACACGCCACCCCCAGTTCTTTTATCTTGATAGTACTATGTCCCCCTTTCTCTGCTTCAGTCTCTCTCTTTTCATCTCTTGTAATAAAAATGTGTTGCATGGTACACACTTGGAGATCTCCCATAAATCAGATGAGGGTGGTGGTGGGACTAAGGGTGGTGCTGCTGTTGTTAGTGCCATCAAGTCAGTTCGAACAGATAGGAACCCTGTATAGGGTTTCCAAGGAGTGACTGATGGGTTTGAATCACCAACATTGCAGTTGGTAGACCAGTGCTTATCCTACAACACCACCTTAGGGGTGCATGAGGGTGGCATATCCTATCCTCTAATCCTCTTTTTGGTTTACCACATCAAATCACATCGTGGGGGATAGCTATATCTCAACTACCAAATCACTGAGAATACTGGCCCAGAGAAGTTCACATAAAACCCTATCAGAGACCTGCAAGAGAAGAGTTAAAGATGACGATAGTATGCTCTGCCTGAGAGATTAGAGTTTATAAATATGAACTCATTAATTAAATCTTCTAAAATATACTTCTGCAGTTGGCTCTGAGACTTTTTCTTGGCCCCTAAAGGTTCTGAATTGACTTCTTTTAGGTTTCTAAGTCAATTAAGATATCTACAGACTAGACAAAGTTGTCTGCAGGTAGCTGAGGATTGCTAGAGATCGCAATTTCTGTGCATTTAGTTTCTCTATTTTCTTCTTAAATGCTTCCAATACTTTTCATATTCTTTAATTAGGCAATGAATTAAAGTTCATGTTTTTGAAATGGAAGGAGTCTTCATATCAAGGATCAAGCTTGCCTCCACAGTGCACTGGGTTGATAGGGATGGGCACCTTAAACTTCAGCTATCAAAAATGGGGGCTATAAAGGCACGAAGTGACAAGCTTACAAGCTTTCATGAGGATTCTTAGTTTCAGAATAAGATAGGTAAGAAAGAATACCCATTCAACAGCTTTCTCTTTTTCAGATAGGTCTAATGGGGAGGATGGCGATAGGATTTTATGATTCAATTGTCAGTAATCGCTTTCAAGACTAATGGCGATTGTCACAACTGTAAATGTAGAAGAGGCGAGCAGTTAATCTGTCATTTCAGAAACAGAGGATGCTAGGACCATCAAAAGGGAATAGAGCAAAAGAGGAGTGGCGGATCCTAATCAGAAAAGCAGCAACAATAGAGGTGGTGGCCGAGGCGATGGCATAGAAAGACAGAGCAGCAGAGGACTCTAGGCCCATGGACTGAGAAAGGCAGTGTGCCTGTAGGCAGGAGCCTGGCTTGTAAAATGTGCTCTATGGACATTTAAACAAGCATATATTTTCAGTGTAATATGTGAACGTCAACAAAAAAGAAAGAAAGGTAATAGAAGTAAATACTGTAACTGATGACACATAGAGGGGACTGTAATCATTGCAATAATTTGTTGAAAGTAAAACTGATGATCTGCCCTGTAAACCTTCACTTAATTCACAATAAAAGTATTTTAAATAAAATAAAATGCATATGCATTTCCTGGCCATTAGGAAAAAAAAAGTCATGCTTTTATAATAATTTAAGTATGCATTTTTGTTTAACTCGTGATTTTATCTTTATTTCCAACTCTAATAAACATGAATAAGCTACACATTTCCAAGCAGAATGGGAGTTAACTGACTACAACATACCAATTCTTCCACGGTGGCAGGACCTTTTGATCTCAGTCGAAGTGTCTCCCTTCCAGTACCAATTTTTCCTGCTGATGAATTTCCAGGTTTTGACCTGGGTTCGATTTCTATAAAAGATACAATGGAAAGAATAAGGTAAAATTTATTCATACAGAATTCCAACAGATTGCCATAAAAAGTAATGTATTTACCGTCACAAAGTTATCTAAAATTATTATAGCAATTTGATAAACAATGGTCTTCTTATAATGTTTCCCTGGACAAAATACATCCATCTTCTATTTATTATTCTCAGGAGTCTCTATGAGTGAAACCTGCCTATGAAAATAAAAGGGAATGTGTAAAAAAATTACAGATAGTAAACAGTAGATGTTATAAGAGAGAAACATACAAAAGAACGGCAAAAAGCAACTCTGTATAGCAGGGGTGGGGAACATCCAGCCCAAAGGCCGTGTGTTGTTGTTATGTGTCGTGGAGTCGGTTCCGACTCATAGTGACCCTGTACAGGGTTTCCAAGGCTATAAATCTTTATGGGAGCAGAAAGCCTCATCTTTCTCCCGTGGAACAGCTGGTAGTTTCGAACTGCTGACCATGAGATTAGCAGCACCTTTCGTAACCACTACACTATCAGAGCTCCTTAAAGGCCATGGAAAGCCCATGAAATCATTTGGTCTGGCCCTGCCAAGGCAACCGCAGTTCCAGCATCACATTTGTTATTGTTGCTAAGTGCTGTTGAATCAGTTCTGACCTATCGTGACCCTGTATACTGTTTCTAAGGAGCAGCTGGTGAGCTTAAACTGCCAACCTTACGGTTCGAATCAACTTTGCAGTCTAGTGCATTAACCCACAGTGCCACACCAGAACTCCTAGCCATCACATTATGGGTGAGTTCATTTTCCTTTTCTGTAAAAGAAGGGCAACAACTTGCCCCACAGATTGTATGAGCAGTAAAAGGTATTTTGTACATAAAGCATCCATCAGAGGATAGGTACTTGATTAATAACTCTTTCCACCCTTCTATTGGGACTTGATGCTTCACTATCTCTATGATCTAAATGAATCCTGCTGAACTTAAACATCTGCTCTCCTATTGCCTATACAGAATAGACTCTGGATCAGTAACCACAGGTCAACAGTTCAAATCCACCAGAAAACCCTACACAGCAGGGATGGGGATCCTTTTTTCTGCCAAAATTTATAGCATCGTCCATGAACCATACAAAATTATCAACTTAAAAATTAGCATACTATATTTGGTCAAACATTTAATTAACTCACCTGTGGTGGCTGCAAGTAGAGAATACCAGAAGATGCTTACTTAAGCTTCATTGACTATGCACCTGTGATGGCTGAGTCAATTAAATACATTTTGAAACACATATGTTCCAAGCTTGGAATATATCAATTTAATGGCACTAACTCTTGAGGTATATATACAACTGGAGTCTCCCTTCCTCCCCATACCACCTCACTGTAATGTCACGGTGAAGCCTATTCAGTACAATTTGTCTTCCCATACAGATTTTCTACAGGGTGGAAATGAACTGTTGAACCAATACATGCATTTTTGTCTACCATTATATATCCACTTCTAATTATAAAGTAATATATAGGAATTATGCCTTACCAACAAGTCTCTGATAAGTTTGATAATTATGATATATTACTGGAAAATTGAACAACTATGGATATACCAAAAAAAATAAAAGATTTCTTGTGCTTACAAAGCTAAGGAACCTAAAGGGTAAGCTTCATAAAGGTATTGTCATCCCTGTTTGAGAAGTTAGCTGGACTCCCTAGATGATGTCTCAGTTTTATCTTACTCCTACTTGCAACACCAGTACTAGTAGCTTGTAGAATTGAAGTTAGGTTTTGTTTTTGAGTCGTTACGTATTTGTCAATTTCTCTTCCAGAGTGGCATCTCAAAACTAGCCACTTGGTGGCACCAAAATGAAAGTTATATTTCAAGTTCTGGCACTGTTGTTGTTAAGTACCATCGAGTGGATTCTAATCCATAGCGACCCTGTATAGGGTTTCCATGGCACTGTGAGGCATTGTAAAAGCCTCCAGAAAGGCGATTTTCACTACTAAGGAAACATTAGCCATGTTTTCCTATGATCCTATGATTGAGGTACAAAAATTGACCTCGTCACACATGAAAACAGGCAGGATGGTCCTGTTCAACCACTGGGGGAGGAGGGGGGCGCGGGGATGCTTGTGAGGTTTTTTAATGTTCTAAAGATTGTGAATGATTTTAGTCTGACCTATTGTTGGAGTCCTTGTGTGGTGCTGTGGGTTAATATGCTGCACTGCAAAGTTGGTTGAGCCTCAAGTTTGGCAGTTCAAGCTCACCAGCCACTCCTCAGAAACCCTATACAGGGTTGCTATGGGTCGGAACCAACTCTGTGGCACTTAACAGCAATAACAATTTCTGGAGTGCTGGCCTGTTTGAGCATGTCCAACCACCTAGGCCAAGCCGTAAATCACTGCACATGAATGAATTTCCACAAGATCCTTCATGGGAGCATATTAAAAGAGGAAGACAGGTTTCTACAATAGACATTAGTAATGGACCTTTAGTTAGCTCATTCACTAGAACCATCAGTGCTCCCAACTCCTCATGTAAAGCATACAAACTGACGAGCTGCCCACCTCGGGCATCAGAGCACTCAGCTCATAGCTACACAGTGCTCCTAGATCTGGATAATATACCATGAAGAATGGTTTGCTCCAAACCCTTTTATGGTAGTTATATCTGTTGCTGTAATGGAATGATTTCATTATAAGTGCATATACTGATTACCCAAGTACAGGAAAAAGATGCTGTTGCTAAGAAAATTTGGTTGACTGCGTTACAAAGACTCAACAAAGCTGAGTTGATAAAACAAATAGATATGGGCAAGATGATTCTGAGAGATTAGGAAATATAGCTCTTACAATCTAGAATTTCACACAGATCATTGATCAAACATATTTAAGTTCTTACCTGTTTTTTGTTGTTGTTGTTTTTTAATACAGTATAACACAAAGATAACATATTGTGGTATGGTTTACAAAAGAAAGACTTAACAGAACTCCAATTTACATCTTCGATTTCAAGAAAAGCCCAATTATATCAAAAATAGGTAAAAGAATACATTTGCCTTCAATTAAAATGTGTGTGTGTGTGTATATCATTCTTTATGATATCCCATTTTAACTGACATTATCAATAAACAAAACCAACTCCAAGAGCCTGCTATATGCTGAAACATACAAAGAAGAGAAGGGAATGGAAGGGCAAAAAGATCTCCCTCTTCATTCACACCACTGCCTTAATCCTAGGAAATGAAGAAGGGCTGGCAAAGGCCAATGGTGCTGTTTTCAGGAAGGACACATGCAAGACGGTTTGGATCCCCAACAGACAAAAGATGACACATAGAGGAAGCTGGTTTTCTCCCTACTTCTGCACAGGCAGGGCCCAGTTCTGGCCCCACAAGGGCCCTATTTGACCTGGAGTCTAGAGCACCATTGTCATCAAGCAGGGACAGATAGCATGACTTCAGTGAGAGCTAGATACAGCTATAGCCAGCACTTGCTCAGTAGACAAGGGATGGCTCAAAGATACCCACAGAAAAGATGGTACTTCTTAGGAAATAAAGCAGATCAACAATGGTGCCTAACAGGATCAGACTTCTTATGAACACATTAGATACCCTTCAGAACATCTATAAATAGTTATAAAGAGGCAATACAGCAAGGGGGTTAGAGGTCCTGAATGAAAATGTGGTAGAAGGGGAAAAAATCAGTGACATTTTGGCCACAGAAAAGAAATAAGTCAATTATTTGAAATCCAAATCAATGATATAAAAGTTTCATTCCCACTAGATTTCAGCTAAAAGCATAAATCCTTATTTTTATGACTTCTAAAAAATATACTCTCTGTCCTTTCCAAAATGTCTTGAGGGGTCTTTAATACTGAAATCTGATCATTTCTACCTTCACACACAGTTGTTTTCTAATGTGGTATCTTAAAGCCTATAAGTTAAGTTTATTACTTTCATTCTATTGATGTATATGTATAATGGTTCAAGTCCATGAGAAAAATTAACATTTTGGTTGAATCTGTACTCTAATCTATAGTCTCATATTTAAAAGAGTGGCCTATAGAATCAGAGCACTGGGTTAAATCCTCCACTCCTCCATATATAAATTGTGTAAATGTGAAAGACTACCTCCTTGGTGGAGTTAATGTGTTTTAAGTTGTATACATGCTGATTCCATCACGTTACAAGCATTAATTTATAGTTGTCTTTGTCTGGAGATAATATAATGGTTTAAGGAGAGATGTACAGGTACCAAGTTGACAAGAGGAGGACTATGATAGTTCAGGTTTTGTGTCAACTTGGCTGGGGCTGGGTTCTCAATGGTTACATAGTTAAGACACAGTCTTGCATCATCCTCACAATCTTTGTCCTCTGTACCTATTATTGCAGTTACTGTGCCAGTCCACCTTGCTGACCATGTCCTTTCACCAGACCTGCTATCCTCCTTTAGAAACCAGTCCTTCTAGATAGCATGTCCAAAGTGCATGAGACAAAGTCTCACCATGCTCACTTCTAAGGAGCATTTCTTCCAAGACATATTCATTCTTCTAGCAGTCCATGCATATCTGACATTCTTCACCAGCACTACAATTCAAAGGCATCAATAAAATCAAATTATTCTTCAGTCTCCCTTATTCACTGTTCAGCTTTAGCATGTATATAAGGTAATTAAAAATACCATGGCTTGGGTTAGAGTTAGTACTGAAAATGATACCTTTGCTTTTTACCAGTTTAAAGGAGTCTTTTGTAGCATAATTGTCCAATGCAATATAATATAACATTTGATTTCTTGACTGTTGCTTCCATGGGTATTAATTGTGAATAAAATGAAATGTTTATCACCTCAATATTTTCTCTATTTATCATGATGTTGTTTATTTATCTAGTTGTAAGAATTTTTCTTTGCTTCATGTTGAGGTGTGACCCAAACAGAAGTCTTTGATCTTCATCAATAAGAGCTTGAAGTCTTCCTTCACCTTCAGCAAGCAAGATGTGTCATTGTCATCTGCATATCTCTAGTT